CCTGCATTGCTGCTGTGGTATCCATCCTCCTCCTCGTTCCATCCTCCATGTTCGCGAGCCGAATAACAGACCAGCCTAATCCAAGTGTGCTATATATCCATCTGATCTTGTGTTAATATATATATATATTTGAAACCTTCACTGACATTATTTTTTGTTTTTACAGTTGAAGGTGAAGGTAGTGGTGGTCGACATGAACACAGTAGATGGCCTAAAGCAAGAAATGATCAGCATACGATTGAGGCCGATTTTCCTGTAGAGAGGAGGCTTACAAAACTGAGTAGAGCTGAAACACTCCGAGTTGCTGGTTCAAAAATACCGGATTGCTCACACGCTTGTGGATCATGCGCGCCATGTCGACTAGTGGTGGTGAGATTTGCTTGTACATCGCCTGCTGAGGCAGAGACATGTCCCGTGGCCTATAAATGCATGTGCAATGGCAAGTCTTATCCTGTTCCATGATCAACACTACTCTCCCTCTCTCTCTATACATATATGCATGTGTATGTATGTATGTCCGTTTCTCATTGCAACTTCCGTCTTCTTTTTGCAATGTAGTAGTGATCACAGAATCTCATATGTAGGTAGTAGCACTGTAACTGAAAGTTTCCAATATATATTTTGGTTCTCAGCTAACTATATTTGATTACATCATATGGATATTTCTGCACGAATGCTCATCGATCAGTACTCAAAATACTACAATTATACAACCAGAACACTGCTACTCTACTCTTACTTAATTACTCCCTCCTAGCCTCACAAAAAGTGTCCCTTTTAGGTGTTTAACCTTTTAATATCATTTTTTTTTTTTTAATCATAGTGGTACAAAATGAATTTTCCAATATACCTTCCTATGGAATTAGGCCGGTCTACATAAGTGTTATTTTAAGCTTCAATTTTTTTTGTAACTTCAAGACAAGGAGGGTAAATTAGGAATATTTTAAAAAAATATTATATTAAATTTTGAATTGAAATAATTATTTTAAGAAAGCCAAAATATAGAAAGATGAACATTTTTTGTGAGATGGAGCGAGTATAATTCAGGCCTAAAATATCAACAGAATGGTTCTTATGCATTTAATATGTTTAAGTGAGAATTGTAAGTCTCCCTTGAAACATACTGTGAGAGTTCTTTTTGTAACACAATAAAATATGAATAAATATGGTGATATCAAGAACACAAACTGAGGTACAAGAGATGAGATCTAGTATTTATAGCAATTGGCCCATCTAGAAATTACCCAGCGGTCCATATCATGCATATAGGTATAATGCTATTAAGTACTTAAGAGATCACATCCTCGAGTTATTTTCTTATACAATGCAAGATACTAGGTATTAAATGCATTTAGCTTTATGAGGAGGATTATGGTTGGGTTATTAATGATTCTGTCAAAGTATTAATGATGATGGCAATTAAGGTTCTTCATAATATACATCCATCATTTTACTTGGTCATGCCCTTTCGCTTGTGTTGGGCATTTTCTGACTTTTCATCCACCAATCTAAGATCTTTCAAATTGTCCGGATGATAAAGTTGTAAACATGCGAAAAGCCCTGACCCTTATCTCGCTTTTTGTTTAACAATGCTGAGCCGAGTTCTGAATGAGCTTGAGGTTAATTTGGCAGTTAGATTTGTTGCTTGAACCGTACAAGAGATTTAAAAGTGGTATCCTCGAGGGTTGGTCACCTGACAAGATATCAAGGTTTTGTGACTTTAGGGTTAGACTCTCGAAGTTTTGTGTCCTTCTTATATGCGAAGGTTTAATGACTTGAGGGTTAAACCTTCGAGGTTTGGTGAGATGCCAGGATTTAGTGACATGGGGGTGACCCTCGAAGTTTGGTGACTTAGTTGTGGTGTCAAGGTTTTGCTCTTTTTTAGGTAAATTGTCAGTGGTCATAGTAGTCAAAACCTAAGTCACACAATCATTCTCAATGGGTGTCGCTTTTACGTTCCGAACATACTGCTACTCTCACGCTTCGCGCGCGCTCTGACTTAAATTATTATTATTCATGACTTAATTCTGCCGCTCTCACATTCTCGCTCTTATTCTTAAATTTGCTCTTACTCTGACTCCCACTTTATTTGACTTAGGTCAAAACCCGTCTAACCAATGTGTTATCTTTGGGCCTAAATTATCAATTTAAATATCATTTTTCATACAAATATAGGGAGGAAAGGGCAGTCTCTATCTAGGATGAGAACAACATTAATTAATGCAGGATGTATTAGACGTCGGACGTGCATCATCTGGAGAATTTCTCACTTGATGTACTGATTTTTGGGTTTAAGTAGTATCACAAGGAAGAGGCTACAACAGAACTTGAATACTTGTGGTAATAATAAGGATGGCAGTACATAAAATTTTTAGAGGACGGAGATATATCAATCTAGAGGTCAAATGTGTCCAAAATGAAAATTTGAGTATCAATTAACCCTCGGGCCCTTGCTGCCCCCATTATTTATATTTTAAGTTATTTTATATTTAAGCATATAATTTATAAAAATAATTATAAAATGTCCCCTTGAAATTATTATTATTTTTTCTTCTAAAAGTCTCTAATTTCAAGTTTCTTATCATTATTACTCTTCCTCTTCAATTTTTATTTTTTATTCTCTTAAAAAATATTTGCATTAAGGGGGAGGGTGGAGTCAGCAATCAGCATGGGTGTGGGGGCAAGTTTTCCACCGGGCCTATGTTGGCCCATTAATATTTATTTTTATATTTAGACATAATTTATGAAAAAAATACAAAATGACCCCCAAATTATTATTATTTTTCTAAAAATCTCTCTAATTTAATCTTGCTTTTCATTCTTACTCTTCTTCTTCAATTTTTTTGTATATTATTTTCAAAATATTTCATTCACTTTATTCAATCAAACTCTTTTTTCTTCCCTCCAAAGTTCTCTCATACTTTATCCTTTGTATTTTCTTCTTCTTTGTTTTTTTTTTTTTTAAATTTTATTTTTCATTTGCTTTTGTTATTGCAGTTGAATAACTATAATGAGGTTTTTAAAGAAAAACCAATATTATATAAATAGAATTTTTAAAAAATAATTCAAATATATATATTTGAAATATTGTGTAACAAAATTAGTTACCAAATATAAATATTTTTTTGCTTTAGAATAAATCACACCACAAAAAAATAAAAAATAAAGTTACTGCTTTTGCTTCATATGAATTCGAAAATGCAAAATAGAACTTGTTGCTAAAACGACCTTTAATTTCTGTATTATATGTTTATGAATTTCTTTTACAACAATTACTTTTTAAATTATTAAATACTGGTGTATATGAACTTTGATTAGCACTTTATTCTTTGGCTTATTATATATCTTGCTGCATTGTTAGTTGAATTTATTTATTTTTATCCCATTTAATATGGTACCTCCTCAAACGAAATAATTCCTAACTCTCCCTTGTCTACACCAGATCGAGCACCATCATCATCCCCAGACAATGACCCACCCAGCAGTTATCATGAAATCTCTTTCCTAAATGACAAGTTAAGATGCATGTTTGGAAACTCATGCGGTGAACCTGCCCATTTTAAATAGGGTCGTTTAAGAACCTCTTTCTAAATGTCCTATGTAACTATTGCTCTCTCTCTCTCTCTCTCTCTCTCTCTCTCTATATATATATATATATAACTTTGTATAAGTATTGCTTCTTTCAGGGGTTGGAACTCGGATTTTTATTTTCTCCCTAAGTCAAGTATTACCCCAGTTGTAAACATGGATATATATATATATACATACAACTATATATATCAGTTATCTTCAATCTGCTGGTCATCAGACGTACTGCAGATAGTGATCAAAGTTTCCTGGATTGACAAGTCTACTAACAACAATTGCCCCCTTGGTATTTTATCACGAACAATATATGGGCGCATACCGGAAATTAAATATAGTAAGATATTTGGTTGAATCGATCAATAACGAAGAGGGTGTACGTTCACACTTGTCCTTTTTCCTTTTAATTCACGGCAAATTTCCTGGAAAGAATTATATATATTAGGCACGAGATGTCATAGTTTTCCAGAGAAATAATATTATATTATATTAAATAATGTTCAGACCGTCAGCGTTTAGTGGGAAAAGTTCAAGTGCGTTCCTATATACTGTAGCTTTTTACGCATGCAGAGGATAAGTAAATACTTAAATTAATTGAAAGTAGTATGAAAAAAACGATATGTAAACACATTCATCTCACTCTAATTTCATATTAATATCAGCATCTTCTGATATATATATTATTTTGTTTATTGACTTGGTCTTTGAACAGGGGCGGTACAGAGTCTTTGCATTTACTATGTATTGTAGAATTCTACAGTAGTATTAGAAAGAGAGAGTGCTTCGCAGACATTTACACAGAAGAATTCGAATCCTTTCCTGTTGAGTGATTAATTATGTCTCTTGGTCATAACAAACCATAATATTATAAAATAATTATATAATGTAATTATTATATAAGTGATGCAAAAGTGTAAAACACGATACATGAGGAATGTTATTGTGAAAGTTTTCTCGGTCATATAAATCAAGAACTCTTATTATAAGATAATTATATAATATAATTATTATGTAAGTGATGCAAAAGTGTAAAACATGATACATGAGTAATGTTATTGTGGAAGTTTTCTCGGTCATAGAAATCAAGAACTCTTCATATTTAACTATTGAATCAAAAGATATATTAAATGATTCATTTAATTTTTAATAACACAAATTTTAAAAATTATATAAATTCAGTAATTAAATTTAAAGAGTTCATAACTCTCTTTGTAACATTACTCAATCCAGTTCTGGAGAGCTCTACAAATATTTCAGCCCACCGACAGTAAGTTGGAAAATGTTAAAGTTTTGTCTGTATATATTTTGCCGGTAATTAGTCTCAGTTGCATTTCACTAGGTTTGTAATATGAGAGAGATAAGAGAGATGAGAGAGAAGAGGGAGGGAGAGAGAGAGGAAGGAGGAGGAGGCGGACTTCAATGGACGTGTTTGAAGGGTGAAAGAAATTCAAAAGGTCCAAACGTCAAAGATCTTTGTCGCTATTGTCGGGTGTCAAATCACACGGTCATCAGTTCAAGGTTTTCCTCATAGAATAATGGTCCTTTCTTAAATTCTTCCAAAATCAACGGTTAAAGTTTTAGTGAATTTAAAATTCTAGATTCACACACAACATGAATTTTAAAAAAAAATAAAATAAAAAAAAAAGCTCCTATATATAGAACGCCCAACAAACCAATTCACTTACCTTCGTACAATATATCCCCACATATATCACTATCAATACCAAACAAATCAGCAAAAGAGTTCGTACTACCTAGTTAATTAGGATTTCCAAGAAAAACATAACCATGCATCGCTATGCAGTCATGAATATGCTACAGAAAAAAATCATTAAACCATGCGATGTTTTCATTAACCATAGAGGCATTGATACGAAGCGAACCGTGGCTTCGTTGCTCTATGATCACCTTGTCCGCCTCGATATCCATCCTTTCTTGGACAACAAGAACATGAAACCCGGGGACAAGCTGTTCGAGAAGATAAACAATGCCATTCATGGCTGTAAAATAGGTGTGGCCGTCTTCTCGCCGCGCTACTGTGAGTCATACTTCTGCCTCCATGAGTTGGCTCTCATGATGGAGTCCAAGAAGAAGGTTATACCTATCTTCTGTGATGTCAAGCCCTCCGAGCTTCGAGTGGTGGACAATGGTACTTGTCCACCTCAGGACCTCGAGAAGTTCACTATGGCACTTGAAGAAGCCAAGTACACTGTTGGACTCGCCTTCGACTCTCTTAAGGGGTAAAATCAATCAACCTTAGTATATGTTTATGTTTAATTATTTGTTATTCTAGCTCAATTTCTCGTTCTTAATTAATTAATTAATTTTTTTTTTTTTTCCATTCTTTATGTAGGAACTGGTCAGATGTGGTAACAAATGCTGCAGACATAGTGACAGAGAGCTTGATAGAGATCGAGGACGTCGAAGACCGAATTCAACACCAAATTCCTCAAATCCCTAATTGAGAGCTGCATTCATCAACTAATAATGAAGGATTATACAAGATGCCAACTCCTGATCATTCCTTTCATCGATCACCTATAATTTGCTCAATCTTTTCATTCCATTTCTTCAATTTGCTAATAAATAAACATGTAATGTCTTTTATTTTTATTATTCTTTTAGGATCACATTGTTAGTTATGTGTTCTCTTTTTGTCAAAAAGCACAAAAGTGTAGCACACACTAACACATTGTAATATTGTTAATTTGTACTTACCAATTCTTTGAGTGATGTTGTATGATGTAGATTATTGTTCAATAAGAATGCAGAAACTCCCCCGTATTTGTTCATTAATTATTCCTCGTCTGTACTCAGGCAATGGTGGTACTATGTACAATACAATTAATTTAAGCTCCATTATATACATTATTAATTTGTACCAAGCTTGTTTTCTGTACTCTCAAGAATATATAAATTAACCAAACTAACCACGAATTAATTACAAGCTGTTCTAATATTTTTTGGAATACTTTAATTCCTTTAGTCAAATAATTAAGATAATGGTAAAAAGCAATGAACACACACACATATATATATATACCAATACCAAGTCCAAAAGCGTTCTATAGTTCTTTGAGTGATGTTGTATGATGTAGATTATTGTTCAATAAGAATGCAGAAACTCCCCCGTATTTGTTCATTAATTATTCCTCGTCTGTACTCAGGCAATGGTGGAACTATGTACAATACAATTAATTTAAGCTCCATTATATACATTATTAATTTGTACCAAGCTTGTTTTCTGTACTCTCAAGAATATATAAATTAACCAAACTAACCACAAATTAATTACAAGCTGTTCTAATATTTTTTGGAATACTTTAATTCCTTTAGTCAAATAATTAAGATAATGGTAAAAAGCAATGAACATATATATATATATATATATATATATATATATATATATATATATATACACACACCAATACCAAGTCCAAAAGCGTTCTATAGTTATTTTTCCAACACGTTGGTGAGGCATTAACAAAGAAATGTGGATGGATCTGGGAAGCACCATATATATAGTTGTGTGTCTATATATATATATATATTGAAAGGTACAGTCGTATATATTTCTTAACAAAGTAATGTGGATGGATCTGGGAAGCATCATACACACAGTAGTATGTATTCCTTTGGAAAGAGTACAACAATTACACACACGGATATACTATTGAATAGGCAAAAGAAATCAAAGTACCGTGGCTAAGAATAAAGAGAGGATTGAGTGGGTCCAGCTAGGTATGTTAATAAATAAAGAGAGAAAAAAAAAAAAAACAGAAGGTAAGAATCTTAGGTTGATTATAAATTTTTAACCTACTTAAATTGTATTTCAACACATAAAATAATATATTAAAAAAGTGTTAAAACACAATTCTATAGCAAAGGATCATTGTATTAAATATAGGATACTACAATACTTATTTTATCAATGATATACCTATGTGAGCTGTGTCAGTGATAGTAGAAGATTGTAACGGTTAAAATGGCATTTCTTAAAGATGCTGAATAAGTGATGTTCTGTTTCAAGCAAATTAAAAAGGAAGTTGCTATTTTAACCCATCCAAACGACCAAATCAACTATTTTCCAATTAAGAATAGTTCGTAATGTTACAACTAGGGCCTACAGGTCTCTCGGGAGGAAATTTACCACAGGACGGGACTAGGACTAGTGGTACGGTTTGATTAATTTAAGCCGCAATGAATTAAAGTTTGAGCTTTGTACGGACATAGATTATTCAAGACATTAATGTCGAATCAAAAGGAAGAAAATGCTACATTCAAGGTTGCGGAATTTCCGATCAAAGGTGGAACTATAGGGGTAGCGCTTGAAAATCGAATTCAACTTAAGGTGAAGATTGTTTGGTTTGTGGCTTGAATTCATGTGCGAGGATGTTGCTATGGTGAAGTTGGACCAGTCCAACATATCTAATACGTGCGAAATGAGTTTTCTAATCCATTTTGAAAGTCACACACTTGTGTATAAAGATGTGGAAGATTTAAAAAAACAGTGTAATCAATTTTTAAAGTAAAAATAGTCCACTGTGGACTTGGATAATTTGTGAACCATGTATTTGTTTTATTTGCTAATAATATGTCTGTTTTATTTATTAATAATATGTGAGATCCAGAAATATACAATTAATTAAAGAATGACAACAACCAGAAGATTGACAGTTAAATCGACATTTCTTAAATATGCTGACAAGTGATATTCTAATTCAAGCAAATTACTGTGAAAAAAGAAAAAAAGAAAAAAAAAAGAACTTGTTAATTTAACCCATCCAATTGGCCAAACTATTTTTGCAAAAAAGATAAATAAATAAAAAGGCCAAAGTATTTTCCAATAAAAAATAGATCATAATGTACGAAACATAGTACGTACAAATGGGGCCTTCATGTCTGTTGGGAGGAAATTTACCACAAGACTAGAGAGGTTTGATTAATTCAAGCCAAAGGAATTCTGAAGTTTAGGGTAAATGACACAATTTACGTATATCATATCCACAGTAATATATAAGGTAATTGTTTTTTTGAATAATGACATCTCTTAAGTTAAAAAAAAAGTTGACAAAGGCATTATATAACCGTCACATATGACAAATGAGAAATTGACTAATTTACCCTTTAATCATATAGTGGACCTTTTAACTTTACAACTCAATGAATTGGACTAATTTACCCACCATTAACATTTGATGCAAAAAAGTTAAAGTGCTTAATTGGAGAAAAAATTTGCACAGCAATGAATAAAAAATTGATAGAAAATTTGTTTGAAATAAAAACGGAGCAAACAAAATGTGGAAAGTAGACTCACAGAAGTATAAAAATGAATTTTTTGGTGACGATTTGATGTCCAGAAGGCTGTCAAATAAATAAATTAAAAACCTGATTTCAAAAAATAAAAAATTCTAGACAGCAGCCGTTGTCGAATTTTTATAAAAATACGAAATTTTTCAAAGAATAACTAGACATGCAGAGGAACCTTTGGTAAAATTTTCATAGCAATAAGAATATTACAATAACTTAGAGAAATTAATGAATTTCAACAAAATAAATTGACGTCATTTTGCGACTCATATTAACTCAAGGGTAATTTCAACATTCAACATGTTTGATATTTTACAATAAAACTTATTTAATATTAAGGGGCAATTTTATCTTTTCTAATCATTTAAAGCCTTGTTTGGATGACAATTCTAACAAAGGTGTCACTGTCCAAAAACTTACAAATTTATATATGACTGTCCATATAACAAACCTCAAGAATATTATTGTACTTTACCTTAAAGTTCATTAGAAGATGGAAGTGAAATTAACATGCAATATGAATAAAATTAAAGCACTGTACGGACATATGTACATATATTTTTTATAACCCACATATATACATATTCAAGACGGACGTTAATGTTACTCAACTGAGTCAAGAGGAAAATGATCAGTTTTTAATTATCGAAAAAAAAAAAAAAATGATCAGTTTGAATTAAGACGAGAATGGTTTTAATTTCCAGATGGTGATTTCTTGGAAAACAAGAATTAGTTTTGGAATAGTGCATCGTTAGCGGATTCAGCTTTGACCAGACCAAGGGTAAAAGGCTAAAAGCACATGCAAATGCAGGCCACGCCTATATAACACATTGTGTATATATATATATTATATAATAGATGTACCAAGTCAGACTCCATGGGGTCTGACCAGTTCAAAATTTGATTTTGATTATTAATTAATTCCGATATTTGAGATCAAATCTGAATCAATTGAATTCTAATATTGCATCATAGTTCAAATTCGTATTTATATCTTATGTGTAGAACGAGTAAGGGTGTCAAGAGAGCTCCCTCACAAGAAGATTTTTAAATTTAGTCACTGAGATAATTTTAAAAATTTATAAAAAATTATTTAATAAGTGTTTTAATTTATTAATTAAAATATAGAGCTCATGGTGACGGAATTCTCTTAAGAGCAAAACTCTTGCAAAATTTAATGTCAATTATTATATAGATAATACTTACCTACTCACTAGTGAGTAGAAAATTCATACTTACATTGATGTGAGTCAAAATTAGTGTAACACGTGTTCCTATAATGTAAAATAATAAAAATTTAAAAAATTTGAGAGGTTAAAAGTCAAACCAGATTCAAATATCAAAATCAAATTCGAATTTAATGAAATACAGTCGTCCTTTTTCATTAATGGTTTTTTGACTTGTCATTGGAATATTACATCTCTTGAAAAGTCTGAACAAGAAGCATGTCCACATCCTAACGAATAACGCACCATTAGTTGGTTTTTTGCAATAGAATCTGAGCAATTCAAAAGTACTAGAAATGTGAAAATGCAAGTCTATGAATTGTGTAACTTAGATTTAAGAGCATCCACACAAACTGAAACAAGTCTATCAATTGTATATCATTGCACAAAAGGCTGTTGACCTAATCTTTAGCCACTGTATCAATCAAAACACTCGGTAAAACGAATTAAACTCAAAAAGTTTTCCAGATTGCATATTATGTTGAAAATCAGTATGCAATTATAAGTAGTTTTTATTTCCACCCACAAAGGAAAGGAAATTAAATGCGGAAATAATGTTCAAACTTAACTTGGAAACTGAGGGGCATTGAAATTCACTTAAATACATCGAACACCGAAGACACGGGCATCAATGTAACCCACATAGAAACATAGGCTGCTCGGCCGGCCAAGTCCCAAGATGATTCACTATCCCACCTGATTATAAAAGTCAAACCAGGTTCAAATATCAAAATTAAATTCGAACTTAATGTATCCACAGTCCTCCTTTTTAACTATAACTGTAACGATACATAAATATTTGTTCAGATTTTATATAATTTAGTGTATTTTTAGATAAAAAATAATTGATAAGTATATATAAGGATTTCCCTGTTAGTAGATTAAGGTTTTAGTTTGAGAGAGCTGCATTCATTTAGGTTGACCTGATAAGTATTTAATTTTTTATTATTTTCTATTTTAGGAAACTTGTCACAAATAGGAATAAATATGTACTTTTTACTCACTCATAAGTAGACA